GGGGGGGTGCTCAGTGACCAGCTGGCAAGCAATAAAAAGGGCTCAGTACAGTTTGCTTTTAAAAGACTGGGATGAGAAGTTGTCTAGCATGTGTCAGTGCTTTCAGATGAATTTAAGGCTGAGATTGGTGTGACTTCTGCCTGAGTTTGCTGTGCTATACCATCTTAAAGCTGCAAATACTAGAGACTGGTGCTGTCTATTTCTTACCCACAGAACAGAGAATTGCATGTTGTTTCTATCTCACTGTTTGTAAAGGTTCTTCCTCATTATCAAGTAAAGATGCAGAACCGCAGCTTGGGTAGAGATAGAAGAAACGTTACTTTGTTTCTTATCAAGTTAAAGGTGATAGTGAACAGGTTCTGATAATGGTTAGGTCACTGGCACAGTGCTAAGTAATGCATGATTCCAGCTGTGTGCCCACAGCTCAGCAAATTCAGGCAGCATCATCCACTTTGCTTAAAAGTCTGTAAATTCTTAGATCAAAATGTGCATTCATCTTCATTCTTAGGCTGTGTTAGAAAAAAAGGGTCCTCCTCAGCGCTGCCTGTTAAGAGCCCTGAGGCTCAGCCATATGTTTTCCATTTCAGCCCCTAAATTTCTTACCACAACCACCTTATCTTTTTAGGTAAGGCAGAATTCTTTCCACTGCCCACAGTATTGTGTTTTAAATTTGCGGGTCTCTGCTGGGAAGCAGAAAGACAAGTTGTCTTTTAGCAGTATTGGAAGCCTAAAGTACTGACTAAATCTGATGAAAGCTTCCCACTTGGCAGCTAGGAGTGGTACCACTGTGGCATTGTAAACTGCCTCTCTGCAGAATATTTCTGTTACTGAAACACTTACAATATTGGCCAATGTCATGTTGTAACTCCAGGTGCTCCATCAGAAAGTTCTCTCTTTTAGCATTTTATAACCAGTTGATAGAAGACTGGGTTAAGCACAGAATCTTACTCTGACAATCAGGTTTTTTTCTGCTAGACAGACACTGCCATGGTTACAAGATGTCAAGCCACAGCATTTAGCCCATTTTCTCACCCTGCTGCTCACCTGCATCCCTAATGAGATATTCTGGTAAAAAAAATACAGACTGTATTAGCCATTCCTAAATCATTTTTGTAGATCAAGAAGATGATTCTCAGATGTTGTGGATTAGAGTTGACTACTGAAGGATCCAAAATTTTGACTTCTTGGAATAATAAGTGATCCAATAAATATTTTAATTGTAAAGAGATAAATCAGTACTCCCATGGCATTGTACTCTTCTGGTTTGTATCTCTTGTTTGCTTATGTACACTGAACATTCCTTTCCTATTGAGGATTTGTGAAATATGGATATAGGTGGGAATTTAGGAGCTAGCAATGGTTTGATCTTCCAACTTTTACAACCTAACACTGAGTAATGTCATAATTCTGTGTTTCAGATGAGCTACAGTCAAACAGTTGGCTGTATTTAAAAGCTTAAACAGCTAAGTCAAATTCTCAAAACATTTTGAATGCAACCTTATATAAAATTTTTTAATTTAGAAAACATTGCTGTAGCCACACCACATGGAAAACTCCACAAAATAATCCAGACTGTTGATGCTTTATATTGCAACTTCTGAAAGTGGAAGAAAAAAACCATAAGACTTCAAAAAGTTAATTTTGCCAGCATAGCAGTATAATATGAGTTGGTGATAGTTCCTCTAATCAGGTCTTTCTGCAATTCTTAGTCTGATTTGTTATATTCTGTTAGTGTTACTCGATACAAATTTGCAATAAAGACGGATAAGGATAAATCCCTACAAGGACTATATATTTGGGTTGATCGAGTGATTCAGCACGTGAAGAATGGAACGGATAGAAGGACCAAATGCATAATTGAGAAGGCTGTTGACTTCAGTGTTTTCACATAATTGATAGAGATTTATCTACACATCTGTAACAGTTTTGTCCTTTTCCTCACGGCTTTTAAGTCTGGATGGTGGAGTATGTTCTTAACATTGCAGATTGCACTTTTTTTTTTCATTATGATAACAATATTTCTCCTGGTTTACTTGCATGCTGCTCCTGTAGTCATTCAGCAAGATTAACTTTACAAAACAGAGAAGAGTCTCTGGAACAATGATGGAACTCTCTGGAGCCTCTTTACTTATCTACTCCAAGCAGTTAGGTGTGAAGACATTTGGTTCATAGGACGTGAGTTCTCACCTCCTATCCTTGTAAGATCCATTAAATTATTTTTACTGATTTTTTTTTGTACGCTGAAATTCTTGATTACAGTAAGCTATGCTTCATTTATGCCAGCAAAGTATGAATCTTCTGCCTTTGTCCATACAAAGAAAGTAATGAAAGCATACCTTGGCATTTTTAGATTTAGTTTTAATTAGAGGTACAATAAAAATAGGCAAAGGTAGTTATAAAGTTGAAATCTGAACAGTGGAGAGAATAAGCAGAGCTCTGGGAAACCTCTGGGAGCAAATCTGTAAGTGTGGCTCTATAGTGGAAATGCTGAGTCACGTCTTGAAGCAGTGATTGAGCACCTGGTGGGAAGGCAGGGCCAATCCACAGGAGCTCAGGTGCATGCAATGTTCCTGAGTGACCAGAAGAGGTGGAGCCAGGATGCACCTCTTACAGACCTCATTGAAGGGTTGGTAGTGGAAGTGAGGGCTTCTTGCTGGACATCCCTGTGAGATCTTCTTGAGACCTTCTGAAAGTAAGTAGCTTCTTTCCTTTATTTTTCTGTTTATGGGTGTTGTATTTGAGTAAATTCTTATTTGCTGTAGCCTGGGACCTTGCTGCTCTGCTGTGTTTTCTGTTGCGTTACATAGGTATTGCTATGGACTAATGGTCATTGCTATGGAGTAATGAGTGCATGGGTACTCAGTATGAGGAGAATAGTTTGTTTTGATAAACTTCATTTCCTGAGTTGAAGCTTTTTCATAGAATAACTCATTGAGGAGATGCTTCTGGTGAGAATAAGAATTTGTGCAGTATTGGTCATCTTAAAAAAAAATCTGCTATGCCAGGCCTCTGGCAAAGGTATTTAGAGGAAGTTGGAGGTCTAGAACTGAAGCTTTAAGTAAACTCAGTATGGCATATTTCAAGGGTAGCCAGGCATGTAGATGTAGTCAGTCTGTAAAATACATACCAAAGGCAATGGCCTGGTATGTATGGTATTAAAAGTTATTATTAAATGGTGCTTAGTATTTATTTGGAATATGGATTAAAAACCTTATTCACCAAAGAGTTGCTACAGAAAGATGCGCAAGGAATCTGAAAATCCCTTGACAAACATTTGCACAGGAGGTGATAATAAACAAGCCAGACCTAATACCTGTCACAACAATACTTTCACAGGACGCATTTTATTAACAGCTTTGTATGTCTTTCTGCCTGTCTGGAGAATCCTTTATCCCCAAACCACTCATTGCAGATTTACTGTAAAATGTGGCTTGCTATTTTCAATCAGAATATGAAGAATGAGGGGAGACATACATCCGAAGGCATTAGCAGATAATACTCAACATCTCTGAAGGCACATTTATTGAGTACTTCAATTTGACTGTGAACTCATGCTTAAATAGATATCTTTGTATTGCTGTTGATGTGTCATGATATTATTCTTGTACACTGGAGCAGGCTTACTCATTGTCTGGCTGGAGCAGTATATTCTACTTATGAAGTAGATATCTTTTCTAGAAATGATTCTCAGATAAACCGAAAAAAAACGTATTACTTAGTGATGGGGGTAATCAGTTATTCTCTCAGAAAGCCAGCTGGTAATACAAAGACTGTACATACACCTTTATGCTCAGAAAGTTTATTACTGTACTACACAACTGACAACACTTAAATTGGACCTTATATTTTCGAATTTATTTCTTAACCTCCTACTATCGTGACAAAGTTCTCAAGATCTAGTGGGATTATTCTTCCTTGCCCACATTTCTGTTTCCGTATAAAGCAACTCTGATGCTGACAGTGAATAAATTTCTAATCTTAGGAAGATGGGTGATAGTAGAGGTGTTTATCTAAACCCAATCAATTTAATTGACATCACAGAGAGATATGAAGAAAATTGAACATCAAAGAAATGGAAAGCTCCCTCGCTGTGTACAGATGCCTGCATTTTATGTTTATGTAGTGCATTTTAGTCTACTTCTTTTGTCTGCTTTTATATCTGTTCTTTATTAAAATGTCAACTTAGATGTATTCAGCTGGCATTTTATAACAACAGTAAGATGCAGAAGCTTGTTAATCAGACATCATTTTATAAATAAGCAAAAGTGTATGTTATATGTAGGGTAAATGATAAGAAATTGTGAAATACAAACTGAACTTGTATAGAGATTTTCTTGGTGGCATTATGAACCATGGCAGGAAGGTCTAAATAATGAAATAACCCAAACACCAGGCTCTTGCTGAAAAGTAAGGTTTCAAAAAGGCATCTTGGGCAGGGCACTGTATTTAAATTAAATATGCTGTCTCAGCTTCCTCATCCTCTTCTCATTTAACCTACTTTGTCGTTACAAACGACTATCAAGTTGTTGAGAAAATCTTACTATTAAGGAGCAAATATATAAGATAATGAGCAATAAATGAATAGCTGAATGATGCAACAGGTAGATTTCTTAAAATATTCATAGTAAAATCAGAAATGCGTCACATATGATGACTGTAAAAGAATGCACATTTATAATTTAGTGCAAGAGCTTCCTTCATAGCAATTTTTTCTGTAGTGAGGAGGACACTGCTTCATTTACTCCCAGTATTTAGAAACACCGCTAGTGAAGCAAATTCTGAGGAAATAAGGATGTTCTGACCAAGGTCCAAATCCTTAATAAAGTTGGGAAGAACTTATTTCTTGTGGTCTGAACATACTTCTAACAGGTAGCCAAATACTTGCTTTGTGCTTCCCAACTATTAAAAAGAATGTGAGTTTCAGAAAGCTGTAGGAAATCAGTGACTGATCATAGTGATTACATTGTTCTTATGGTTTTTATTGTAAAAAGAGTACTAACCTGATCTGAAGCCATGTGAGCATTGGTGTTGTGCCTCCACCAAATACCCAGACTGTGAAAAACACAATAAGCAGTGTTGTTGTGAACATCATTTGTTTGGGTTGGGATTCTGTGTCTCGAATAGCCAATGCAAAAGCTATTGCACCACGTAAACCTGAAAAACAGGTGAAAATGGTGAAATTTATTCGATGGAGAAATAGAATTTTACTCTTTCCAGCCCAAACCCAATTCCAAGGGCAGATGGATTTTTCAACTGTTATTGCATTTATAATATGCTGACATAAGGCAACTGAAAGTGTGGTGTTTAATGCAAGTCTGAACAACTTCGCAAAAGTAGACAACAAAACGACTCTGATATTCACATGTAATCACATTTGTCTTACAGCCACTGAGGTCTTTGTCTTGAACATTATATTAAACATTAATTTGGCCTTTATACATGTTTAAAATAAATATATTCCCTGCATTGTTTTATTCACTTCAGTAGAACTACTTGTGAAATCAGGAGCAAGAGAGAAAAGGGGCTGGCATAACAAAAGAATCTGTAGCTAAATCCGATACCCATTTCTTGCTTGAGGCATTAGAAAGCTCCATTTCTTTAAAACATATCTATGTTCTAAGTACAGTCATATAAATACGATTTTAAAATAGTAAATACTTTTTAATAGATAATTTAAGTATCTGAAAAGGGGTGTAGAATACATGTAGACTGAACTTGAAAATACTTGAAATAATATAATAGTTGTAAAATTATATACCTACAGAAAAACCTTAAAACAGCTAACAATGAGTATTCACAAAAAACAACTCTGTGGGTAGTACAAAGCTTTCTAAATAGGAATCTGCACAGTGACACATTTTAAAAAAAAAAAAAAGGGGGGGAGAAGAAAGCACATCAGTGCTTTCAGCTGTCGGCATGCATTCTACAAATAACACTACGTTTTCCAATGATTTTCACTTATCTGTTTAAATTTATTGTTTTCTAAAATAATTGAACGAAATGTAGAGAACAAAGCGATTACATGCATGCAATATGCAGTGAATCCAAAAAGTACTCTGGAAGAGATTAAACCTAATAACTAACCTTTCATTTCACACTAATGGTTCATGCGGAGTCATTTAATTAACTGCTAACAAGAACTGTTTTTGTAGTTGAACTCTAAAGCTTTTTAGGAGTGCACAGCTAGAATGTGTTATTTGGTATAGAAGATATACAGTTTAAGCAGAGTACAACACAAAGCTGTTTCTGCAAGGAAGGACTGAGTTAGTTACCTCAGCTGGCACAGATCAGTGGCAGCAGGTTTAAAAGCTCTGCTTTCACAAATATGGTACAGAATTCAAAAAGTAGGCTTTATGTAAAAGACGTGTCCAAAGATGCTCATGCTTAACTATTTTCTCATGGGGGGGAAAATATCAGCTCATTTTAATGGTAGCTCATTCCTTCCTCCATATGAACAGCCACTTCTCAGCAATTAAAGTATTTATCTAGGTGAATAGGTCAAATTAAATTTAAGACATTAAAATATTTCCTTTTCTGGCTATTAGAGACTGCTGACTTGTTTTAGCTGATGTTGAACTCAATTTGAGAAGCTTTGGCTGAATTATACAAGGGCTAATCTAGTTTTGATTTACAATAGATTTTTAGCAGGAGTTACGATTAAAAATTGTTGTGAAAGTGAATTCACCCTTTATAATGAGTTGGTAGAGGCCTACGATAAACAGATGAATAATGTAATACGTCAAAATGCTACACAATCCCCTTCCAAGCCTAACTCATCCACCCAGTCTTAAGGGTTAGTTTTCAGACACTTATATTCATGGTGATCTTGGCTGTGAAACTCAGTAAAGAAAACACTAAATGTTGCGTGCGTTCAGTAACAGTAAGATTGAAAACAAATGCAATCCCAGATTTGGTTTTCACTCCTGTGTGTATGATGGCATGATGCATGAAGCCTTGCTTTCTTCATGACCTATTCAAACCTGATATTATGCCAAAATGTTGCTTCGAGAGCTCTGCTGATGCTGTGTAGGCAATGAGCATGTTCGTCCAAACTCAAGATTCGTTGTCTTGTTTACTCATATCAGAAACGTGTGCTCTGGTAATCTTTTCTGTTGATCACCATATGCAGACTAGACACCATAGTACACAGTTTGTAGTAAGATGACTATTGTTAACTGTGAACAAAATACCAACCATAAAGTGCAATTTAAAGGGAAAATCACACATCTGTGAAGTGTTCAGTGAAGTGTGATGCTGCTGGCAGCATAAAAGGCTGTCAGTCCTTATTGGTGGTCTTACAGATCATGCAATTTACTTTAAAAAGATGCTTTAAAGTTCTCTTCACTAAAGTCTTCCTTGGAAAATATAAAAAATATTTTCTGACTATTTTAACATTTGAATTTCAGACATTTTCAGTACTACCATTTTCAGTGTTCAGCTGCTAGATTGTACTAGGAAGTAAATGCATGTGTGCAAGTTCTCTCAGTTTCTGGCTGTTTTCTGCCTCTAGCTCTGGGGAGAATGAAATCTGATGAGAGAATGAGGACAAAAATTTGTTGAGTAAGATATATTTTTTTAGAACATCTTGAATTTCATACTTTATCTGAGGAAAAAATAAAGCAAAAAACAGACCCTAGGAACTGGATAAGAAATGATTGCAAGCTTTTGTCTAGTTAGCCACCTAGCTAGCCACCTGCTAGCTTTATCTGGGTGATTTACATGTAGGTCTTACACTGCTAACAATTGTAGATGAGCAGGCAGTCTGAGAGCCAGTTCCTAATGGATATATGTCACCATCTCAGGCTGCAATCTAGCTGACATTAACTGACATTTTCAGTGGCAGCTTTCAGGAGAAGTATTGAACAGATATAGAAATGAACTACTGTGCTGCTCTCTAGATACATGGAATTACATAGGCATAAATGAGGCACCCTGATGTGGAGTATTCCTGATGAGGAAGCTTCAAATGTGGTGCATTGTATTCTTGTTACCTGACTAAATGGATCAGTGTACAGCAGGGCTGTCAATCAAGAACTTAAGCTATAAAAATAGGGATGGTTTTTTGTATAAAAAGCAAAAGAAGACAAAGAAGTGCTGCATTTCTAACCTTAGAAAATGATTTCATAAATGTCATTGGAGGATCCATTTTTCTGTCTTTTAGTGAACAAATATTCTCAGCTCTCAAATATTCTTACTTAAAAAAACTGAGTTTTTTCTAAATTGCCTCTAAGAAAAATCAAGTGGAGGCAGCTTGTACAAGTCCAAAAATAGTTTCCCACGGAGAGTTTAACAGTTCAGTGAATGATGCACTGAGAATAGAACTTGGCTTTCTCTTGGATTTTTTCTAATTCTACAATGCTAACCAGATTTAAAAATGAGTAAAACCTCAATTTTGAAAGTAAACCTGAATTTAGAGAGTAAACTTCTCAGATAACAGCTAAAATACACACGGAAAATTTGCCTGTGGAGCTAATGTCTCCTAGTCATGTTTCAGAATAAAACTGTTTCCTGAAGTGAGAAAGAATTGCTGTAAACCATGATCTGAGTATCAGTGCTAGCACCCTCATAGTCTGATATTTCTTAGTATACTGCCAGCGTATAGCAGTACGCTATAAATGCCTCTCAAACAACCCAACATAAGAATGTGGTATTTCCAAACTGGCAATTGATTAAAAGACAGACTTTCTGGGTAATAGGCTTTCAAGAAAGTTAACTAAAATAGGTCCAGAGCAGAGTGAATTACCAAGAATATATCCATTTCCTTCAGTGGCTTTGAGGCGGCTATCTTGAATTCTAAGACAGTGACTTAATACTACTAGCTAGAGGTGACTGGGAACAGGAACAATACCAAAATTGCACTTACCTGAAAACATCATCATGTGTTGAAAATTCCTGGGAATCTTTTGTTTTCGACCAAAATTCAAAAGGAAAGTAAGTGGATATATGTTGCAAGCTCTTGCTACAAAGACTGCCAGCTAAAATTAAGATGTTGAGGAAAATAGAGGAACTACTGAAAAAAAGCCAAAACAATGGAGCTAACTTAAATCTAGTATTTCTACATAGTTATTCTTGATGTGTAATTGAAATAAAAATGAGATTATCTCCCTTCGTTTTACATACCGCATCCTTCTGGTTCCAATTGCATTATAGAACTGTGTAGTGGCAGAAGCTGACTTCACTAGACATCCTGGTTTCAAATTCATCATTACATATCCCACTTCAATCACTCTACTTTCACTCATCACATTTGTATCACATGACTTCATCTACAGTTCTTCAGCTGCATCACTGTCATCGACTTCAGTGATGGCATTATCTTCTTCAGCAGCAATTTGAAAATAATATGCTTTTGGACGTGATTACTTTCTTGTTTCCTGACTGCTCCTATAGTCTATGTCCAGCACTTTTTTTTCTTTCACTTTGGAAATTTTTCAAAAGGAGTTTTTTGTTATGTATATTATGTGGAACTATCACAAAAGTAACTTTAAGAAGAGAAGGACCTGGGGGTGTTGGTTGATGCTCGGCTGAACACGAGCCGACAGTGTGCTCAGGTGGCCAAGAGGGCCAACGGCATCCTGGCCTGCATCAGAAATAGTGTGGCCAGCAGGAGCAGGGAGGTGATCATCCCCCTGTACTCAGCACTGGTGAGGCCGCACCTCAAGTATTGTGTTCAGTTTTGGGCTCCTCGCTACAGGAAAGATGTTGAGATCCTGGAGTGTGTCCAGAGAAGGGCAACAAAACTGGTGAGGGGTCTGGAGCACAAACCTTATGAGGAGCGGCTGAGGGAGCTGGGATTGTTCAGTCTGGAGAAGAGGAGGCTCAGGGGAGACCTCATTGCACTGTACAACCTCCTGAAGGGAGGCTGTGGTGAAGAGGGATTTGGCCTCTTCTCCCAGGCAACGAGCAGGACATGGGGCAATGGCAGCAAGTTGTATCAGAGGAGGTTCAGGTTGGACATAAGGAAGAACTTTTTCTCTCAGAGAGTGGTCAGGCACTGGAATGGCTGCCCAGGGAGGTGGTGGAGTCACCGTCCCTGGCAGTGTTCAAGAGGCGTCTGGATGACGTGCTGCGTGATATGGTTTAGTGCTAGTGGTGGCAATGGTGATGAGGAGACGGTTGGACTGGATGATCTTATAGGTCGTTTCCAACCTTGTGATTCTTGTGAACATGGTTATTTCAGATTAAATAAAAGAACCACAATGCCTTATACACTCATTTAGCAGGTTCCCTCTTTTCTCTGTCTTGTGATTCTTAGGGCTCAATTATGGTTGTAAGAGTCTGAGACATGCTGTGTACTGGAGAATCAATGAAGCACTTGAGCTGAGTGCATCTTATCTGTGATGCCAAGTGCTTGCTTAGAACTCCCACATACCTGGAAGAACAAGCATTAGCAGCTGTTGCTTCACTTGCTCTGTACTTTTCCAGGCTGGTTTGAGAGGAAACAGGCTGAGGTCCTGATGGTGCTCTGCAACACAGGCTTTCAGCTGGGCTGCTGAGATCTTCTCTCATATTCCACTTTCTCCTTATGCTGAGTGCAGGATTCATTTGTGTTGTGGTGGTGGTTGCTCCTGTGACCTGTTCTGTCATTTCAACCAATGTTTTGCCAGCAGAACTGTGGTGCAGACCTTAATCATTTGGAAATTGCATAAAAATTTAATGCAAGTAAACTGTGTAATCCCAAATTTCAAAGCTTCGACTGTTCATCAAAAGGTGATGAGCAAAAGGGCTGCTGCTTTGAGTTGAAGAAAAATCATTATGTGAGCGATTAAAGAGAAAAGAATTGATATCACTGTGTAAGTGGGTAATGGACTGGCTGAGAAACAATGGCAGAAAACAAGACAAGACTTCCTACTTGTATCTCTATCACATGTGATGTAAATAATTGTGTGTACTAGAAATATCACATACAAAAGAGGGAAGATCTGAGAAATGCTCAGCTGTTAATTTATTTCTTGGGACTTAATATAATTTAGGTAGCATTGGGAAAGTTCTGCTTATGGTAGGTACATTTCTGTGTGGAGATGGTGTGTCTGTAAAACAGCAGCAGCAGTTGTAGGGCCACCAGCATATGTGCATCAAACCAGATTTCCAGATACACATAATAAAGCTGAATTCTTTGGACGCGATAAAAATTAGGTTTTTGGGGATCTAAGGAGCTGATGGGTTTGCCTGTTGACTTCTAATTTCTTAAACATGGAGCACACATCTATACATACACACAAATGTAAATATGCACTTGGATAGATGAAGAGTTCTTCAGCACAAAGGATACAAATGCACCAAATATAAAAAGAGGGTTGAAGATATGGTTTTGAAATGTGAACAGAGCAAGTCCCATGTAACAGAAGATGACATTCTCAGCTAAGAAATTCATGAACTCAAACAGCTGAAAGAGAGAACATAATTAGGACTAGTGATTAACTGATCACTTTTTATCACAAAGTTATCTTGGAATATTTATATATGTATACATTTATCTTAAGGGATCAGGAATCAAACCAATTTCATGGGGGAATTTGAAAACCGTTTAGCATTATGTATAGTCAGTGACTTCACTTTAGATTTCTGATTTGTGTAGTAAAGCTTGGTATGAACACATAAAACACAGGAACAGAAACTAAGTTATACAGCCTTCAATGCAAACTGCAAAGAAGCTGAGGGGATTTAGCTTTGGTCGTGTTTACACAGGTGAACCTGCGAAATGGCTCAGAACCTGGCTGAAGTAACCACACTACAGTAATGGGGATGGTGCAGTAATGCCAAGAAACAAACAAAAAAATTCCTGAGTGCATTTTTAAAGAACCTCTGCCTTTAAAATATAGCATGATGCTCTTTATCATCATGAATATTATTCTGTAGGTGAGAATTTTATTGCCTTTTTTGAACATATGTATGAAGTACTAATTTCAAACCAGTGTTCTTGTATTTAGGATAGATCTAAATGTATTATAAGATAAGCCTAAAATACAATATTATGGTAGGATTTCTCCTGAAAAACAAAACAAAATAAACAAAAACAAACAAAAAACCCACTGAATAAACAAAGCCAAAATGAACATTTGCCTTGAGGGGATGTTCCTGATTGCCCTTGCAGCTGATTATATAAAGCCTAATATCAAATATAAATTTTCATGTTTCTTCACATCTGGAAAAAAAAAGCATTGTTGCTGAGTATCTAGAGAGGAGAGAAGATGAGGATTTACACTTCTGAAATCACATCTGGGCTCAGGAGATACAGAATTAGGGCCAAAGTTTGTTGATCTGTCTACAAACAGTCATAAATCATTCTACCAGAAATGTTACTATGGAGACATTTTCTTCATCTTCCATGGGCTTATGTACTTTGTGTAATATGTTTGTGCTTCTAAAAATAAATATCTAATAGCAGTCACTAAGATCTAACAAAGGAAAAATGAGAGCTGTCAGAATCATTATTTACAACCTCTTTCACGGGGAAAGAGGCATAAAGCCTGCTAGTATACGGGAGGATATTGTGGACCCCATGGCAGCACCATCAGTTATCCCAAGCTCACACTCTATAGTCTCTGTTTAGCACTGCACTGATGAACAACATGAGAACAAATACAAGAAATATTTGCAATTTAATCAACTTAAATTATTCAAGCTTAAATTAAATTTCAGTGAAAAACTACTTGTCAAAAAGACTCAAGTTATGAGACCTAGAAACCAATAAGGATTATCACATATCTTTGCATTTCCATACAGTGGATGAATATACTTCTGTTTCTTTGTGGGCTTGTCACATAACAAATATTTCTAATCGTTTAAACAGTCTTGCAGGAGTGGCATGACAGGATTTACATATACCTATAGACATGTAACCTATAAAAATCTTTTGAGGAAGGGGCATCACTGAGGAGTCGCACTGTATGCTTTAATTGCTGGGATAAGATAAAGTTTTGTCAGTGGTTTCAAAGCTGGGTGATGTTTCACTCTTCATTACAAAATCTTGTTTTAGACTTTAATGTAAAATTAATCTGCTGCTAGTAGTTTCCAAAACATTTTCAAACTTTTTTGATGTATAGTTTTTGAAGGAAAATAGACTTTCTGTATCACTGTTTTTTGCTATGTGTTTTCTCAATAGTCTTCAACAGTAGATTCATGCTCTTGACTATTGCCTGAAGTGTTTTCATGGCATTATTGATTTTTAGGCTTCTCAATCCTTTTCTCTCAGTAATCTTGTCTAGACGAAGAACTTAAGTATTTTGTTCATAACCATAAATTCTCTTCCCTTGCCTCCCACACAGCCAACTAACCTCTTTCTACTTTAAATGAAATTGGCATTAAAATGATTGTATGCTGCCATTAATTTCCCTAGGGCTACCAGGAAATTATACTAGAAACCATTTCAGTATATACAGGGCATGAATTTACTTTTCTGTATAACACAGAATAACCTCTCATTTGTAATATACAGTTTTAACTTCTCTGTGAAGTCTATAAATTTGCTTGTAGGTCTAAAAAAAAATTGTAATAAATTATTAATATAAATTTGAAGTAATATCAATACATCTCAGAGTATAGTTTAGAGTAAAACAAAAAACCAAAACAAAACAAAAAACACAAAATAACTGTGAGCACAGTCTGGGCACTGGATTCAGGTGCTAGCTCAGTAAATTAGTGACACTGCTTGCTGCTTTACTTGAATTGTTTTTTCTGTAATGAATGGATATTACAAAAGATTGATATGAAAAATGTCTATTAAAATTAATGTAGTATTTAGGCATTTAAAAACTCACAATTCAATAAATATGCTGTTGTTTTTTATTACCCTTCGTCATTATAAGTGCACAGAGATATTAAAAAAGTCTATTTGAAGTTGGCATAGTCTTCTGGGAAGTGTCACTTAGAGTTTAGTTACTTACTGGTAGAGAGAGGAATGAGTGTAAATTATCTACACTTCAGGTCTTACTGCAAATACTAAGCTTATCTAAGCACCTTCTTTTTCTTCCTTTTCTCTATCCCTCACAGTTAAGTGAGATTCCTGAATAGGGAAATTTCACCAGAGTAGGTTTTGCAAGTTGATCCATTTTATAGAACTACTTCAATTTTCACTGAGCATTAGAGAGATTATCTTGGTAAGTAATTAGTGCACCTGGAAGTTGGAATACTATGTTTCCATCTCAATAGTAGTAAAAATAGAATTCTTTGAAAGAGAAAATGAACATATTCTATACCACAATCCCTTTATGGCTGAGGAAATGGAAAATGTAGCAGTTCTCAAATATTAATATTTCAAAGAGCATTCTTTTATCTCAAGAGAGTAAAGTTTGTAGGAGTACTGGGTAAGAGCAGAATTACTAACTTCACTCTTTGATCTCAGGGGAGTAATATTAGTGTGAGAGTATTGGGTAAAACCTGAATGACACCTGCAAGAACTTCCTGCAAACCTCAGTGAATTTTACTTCCCTCATGGCGATAGTATATTCCTCCATTTAAAACCTGCTGAAGGAATGCTATTCACCTCTTACAGATATACGGTTAAGATAGAACATGGAGAAATGCCACCACTACATGGGTTATATCTGACAGGAATATATCCTTATGCAACATTAAAGCAGGCAAAATTGCAACAGTCTCAGATCAGCTGGGGATCTGAGATGTAAAATTGGTTATACTTTGCAGGAAAGAAACGGTGGTGACAGAGCTATTTAAAAAAAAAAAAAAAAAATCCCAAGCAGTCAGTTTTAAGTGATGGTTATAAAATTTGGTGTTTGAATAATGCTATTTAATTAGAACACAACTGTAAAAAAAAAAAAAAATGTTCATGAAGTCAAGGATATTGATAAATCAATAGCTGATGAAAATTGCTTTTCCCTATTTTGAATTAAAGTGCTGTGAGTATGCAGGCTATCGTATTTTTCTAAGATTGTAGAAGTCTTTATTATAATGTAATTGCTTTATTTAATCTTTCTCTTTTGATTAAAGGTTTCAAAATCTGAAAAGGAATGCTTGAATTTGAAGTTCTTGCCTGAAATCATTTATACAGCTGTAATGAATCTTTGCAGCATAGTGATATAGTGCTTGTCTCTAGAATAACAGGCTTAAATGAAGAATTAGTAAAACTAACTGAAATTCATGATAGACTATAACTTGTATTTGGTAACAATTTTGATATCTGAGCATATTTGACTGTGAGGTTAGAAACACTAACAGGAAAATTCTCACAAGTTTTCTTTCTATGTCTTGAGCAGTTCTGGTCTCTTTTTTTTAATCAGTAGACTTTGCTACTGGATTTGATTAATTTCATCCCAATAAACTTATGGAAGGCACACAATAACTTTCTATTTCTCTCTAAAACTGGGAGATGTAAAAGATTTCTAAAGCCCGTGGAAGAAGTGGGGAAACTAAAAGGAGAAAGAAATAAAGAAAATGTCAGCATCGAGGGAGAGGAAAGGTTAACGATATTTTGTATTTATACAGTCTGATTATTCTTTGTGGCATACTCTACACCCCACTTCCAAAACTCTGTCTTTAAGAAGATAGATATATTACTGGCATAAAAACATGCTAACTTCTGACAGTAAGGAAAAATGTTTGTTCCAGACATTAAGGCAAATCCTTTCTTAAATTCAGAGCTCTGGAGTGGCTTTGCTGAATAAAAGAAGTTTAAACCAAAAAATGTTGAAAATTAGGAAGATAAATTGAAATCTTTTTCATTTTTTTTTTTTTTAACTACTTCAATCAATGAGAGCAATGGAGAAATATTTTAAAAATAAAATGCACAGAACTTCTAAAAAATGTTTGACCTCAGGGTGAAAGAAAGCATAGGATGCTAATATTTACAAGGAATCTGCCAAATCTTTAATTGCATGATTAAAATCAGCCCTCAGAAAGAACTTTATTCTTTTATCAATTAATTGACAAGAGACACTGTTCAAAATTTAACACTCAATATATTTGCTACTTATATGAATAAAGCATGAAGAGCTGTTGAAATGTTGGTATGCGCTTGTGATAATATATCGGATTCAGAACCTCATGAGAATTTATATGCTGACTTCAATAAACTTCAGAACTAGTTGCAGAAAAATTAATGATTCTATCATAATTCTTGTAATTAAGTTGCATAGGAAGGGGATTTCTGTAAACTGTTTTTTTCTGAACACATCTGCAACACAGGGAACCTTTTAGATGTTTGTCTTCCTTTCCTGCAGAAGAAATAGCTTTCACAGCTATAAATTGGCCATTAAGTTGTTCCGAAAAGTGACCTGAGAGTGTCACCTTAATGGAAAGTATTGCCAAGACAGAAAGGATGATGCTGATGCTCCTAGAACTTCTAAGTTATTTGGTTCACAAATTGGAAACAATCATCAAAGAGCTTTTTTTTTTTTTTTTAATCTTCAGTTCTACTGCAGGAATGTG